ACTAGAATGCTGTATATCCACATTACTTCTTCCTCAGACTAGTTCTGTGTATCACACCACCTATTCATGAGACTAGAATGCTGTATATCCACATTACTTCTTCCTCAGACTAGTTCTGTGTATCACACCACCTATTCATGAGACTAGAATGTTGTATACTTCACTACTTATTCCTCAGATTAGTTCTGTATAACACACCACCTATTCATGAGACTAGAATATTGTATACCACATTACTTGTTCTTCAGATTAGTTCTGTATGTTACACCACCTATTCATGAGACTAGAATGCTGTATATCCACATTACTTCTTCCTCAGACTAGTTCTGTATATCTCACCACCTATTTATGAGACTAAAATGCTGTATACTTCACTACTTTTCCTCAGACTAGTTCTGTATCACACCACCTATTCATGAGACTAGAATATTGTATACCACATTACTTGTTCTTCAGATTAGTTCTGTATGTTACACCACCTATTCATGAGACTAGAATGCTGTATACTTCACTACTTATTCCTCAGATTAGTTCTGTATAATACACCACCTGTTCATGAGACTAGAATATTGTATACCACATTACTTGTTCTTCAGACTAGAGTTCTGTATGTTACACCACCTGTTCATTAGATGATAATGATATATTATACAACACTTATTCACCAGATTAGAACATGCACACAGTCTGTAATGTACATATCATTATAGTAGGTGGTATACCCTATTAAATATATGCCACATTAGAATACTGTGAACCACTCTGTGTATTAATGATACTAGAATCTTATAAAGCACATTAATAATTTGCAAGACTAGAATGTTATAGACCATCTGTTCACTAGAGGAAAATAATGTATATAATAATCTGTGCATAAGGTTATTGTAGGTTGTATACCACACTACATATTTTACTGATATAATGCTCTGTATACCACAGTCACACACAAATCTAGTATGCAATATATGAAAGTAAATGATGTCTACCACTTTAAATATAGATATATCAAATGTATACATTGAAATATACCAGTATAATATATAATACATAAAAATACTGCATATTCCAGCAAATGTACCAATTTATGTTTCATACCAAGATATGTTTAACAGTGTAATACACTTTATACACCAATATAAAACATCTTATTAAAAAAAACAGTGAATATACCAGTATCTATAGGATATTATATAACATAGCACATACACCAGTCTTTATTTCCAGCATTATTATAAAGTTAGTTGGCCTTTCCTTATGGTTGTAAATTAAACTAACCATTATAAAGCTATAATGCTTTTCAAAATGAAATATTCGTTTAACATTTAATTCAGGACACATCTTGTATATCCACAATTTTTCTTTAGCATTTCTCTACTATCTACACTTCCCAATGTGTTAAAGTGTTTTGAAGTGACATTTGTGTCACAGTCTCGTAAACAGTGGCAAAGGATATACGACTGATTATATGCTGTGTTTTCCACATTCTCTTTAATACATGAGCTTAGACAATGTATTGTAGAGCCCACATAGCCAAGGTTTCACCTTGGACATGTAAATTTAGATATGATGTAAGAGCAATGTGTTATAGGAATCCTGTCTTTATATTTAAAATAATAACTCTTAATGAAACATAGGTTTAAAGACAATTCTAAACTTAATACATGTGAGTAAATTTTATAATTTTTTTAGATACCAAGATTGTTAATTTAGGTAGA